GCCATGGAATGGGCCAAACACAAGATTACAGTCAATGCTTATTGTCCAGGTATGTTTCATACATGGTTTTTTCTTAAACACAAATCTAACGATCAAAATAGGAATTGTCGAAACTGCAATGTGGCATATGATTGATGAAGAAATAGCAAAAGCTGAAGGAAAGCAAAAGGGAGATGCCACTAAACAGTACTTAAACATGATAACTCTTGGTCGTATAAGTGTGCCGGAAGATGTCGCAAACTTTGTATCATACTTGGCTAGCAAAGATTCTGATTATATGACTGGACAAAGTGTTCTCATTGATGGAGGCATTAGATTTTCTTAATTTTAACTAATGTCAGTTTCGAAAAAACGACTTTATTCATATGTCTTGCATCAGACGTTTTCGTCATTGGATTTTAATAAAAAGAGAGAGAGAGAATTGTTCGAAGAATGTGAACTTCAGGTAAAAGTATCGGATGTGGGATGTAGTTGTGAATCTGGGTTTGAGTCTTCACTAAAACTACACCCTTACCCGCTAGAAACAGAGTATATTCAATCATGAAAATAATATCTCTCAACATATTTTCAATTCATTAGGAGGCATCGCACGTAAGCCACGACCGCCCTTGCGCAATCGGTCTCACCGATTTGGCTGATATTTTCACAGTAGGTAGGCCTAACATATTTAGGAAGAAACCCAAAATTTCAGCTCAAATAGATAAGCCAGTCTGGAGATATAGTGGACACAACTATTGGGGGGTAGGTCATTTTTGGTGTATTTTGTACTGCAATACTTTTCAGTAGATTTGCATTTTCTCAACAATGATAAGAGCTATAACAGAGATTTTTTTTACCATAGATACTCTCGATTATGGGCTACCTTTTGATGGGATTGAAAATACCTTTTCATTTGATTTTTTTCGATCGACATTCTGTACCATTTTCAGAAGCTGTTTCTATGTATGTATAAGGATTTAGTTATATCAGCGCGGTAGAATAGTTTGAAAATAGTCTCACTTGAAAGAGCACATCAAACTGCGTCGAATAGCGTTTTCAAAAGTTTGTAAAAATGAACTGTGCTAGCAAAACTTTTCTGAACAAGACTATGAAGACCAAATTTGGGTCCCGACTCTCTCTATGAAGATTAACGATTTATTTTCAAATATTCGATTTAAGTATTTCAAATGAAAGCCCATGTCAAGAAATCTCTAAATCCAAAATTTCAGTTCATTTGAGCATGTCTGTAAAAAAATGGTGAAGGAGTTACTTTTTAAAATTTTATAGGGTAATATCCAAGGGGGAAAAAGCTGATTCTGTGATTCTGTGATTCCATGTGATT